CTTCTTTCTTGTCTCTTCACATCCATATTTTAATTTAGATTTTTTTTTTTACGAACAATGTGTCACTATAATCAGATTTAACTAGAAGTTTGTTCCTCCTTCTAAGGGCTTGTTTTAGTCACAATATATAATATATCTGTTATTTTGTAATTCAGTGTTGTCCATAAATTCTTTAATCTGGAATTACATTGAATTCCCCATTTGAAATAATGCACCAGATTCAGCCATTTGATTGTGTTGGCTAATGTACGGGTTTGTGTGTTAAAAGTGTGTAGTGGACAACCCATGTAACCTCAGGCCTGTTTACGGTCAGACGGGACTCAACGGTGCTTTTCAGCCGACTAATTTCTGACCTCTCTTAACCTCTGGTGGACATGATGAAAGGCAGGCACTTTCAGCAGGGGTTTCTTTAAGTTTCTTTAAATATGGGCACTTTTGGGCTTTTAGAAAATGAACATTTAAAACAATTTTCACACTCGCACTAGTTTACGCTGGTTAAATTTGTCCACTGGCCAACAGTGGACAGACATGCATCGCATAAAAAGTCATTTTTACTTTTGAAAGTCATCAATATTTCTGGAGTATAGACTTAGCTATTATCTATTATTCTATTGTCATAATTTCACAATGAATCTCCAAATTAATGTAGAAACAACAGAAAGATGGTGTATTTTAAATGCGTTTAATGTCATATTTTTACTAAGTACCATATTATTAATGAAGACCAGTATCATTGATACAAATACTGTTACTGATGTCTCTATTAAACGCTTTTCCCCATAAATGATAAAATAATAAAAATTATATAAATTATAAAAATATAAATATAAATTATAGCCATTCAACATTTAACCATTTAACAGGCTTTGATAAATATAACATAGGCTATAACAATCTTCATATAAACTATAAATTGTGTATGCACATAAACTATAAATTAAATCTAAATTAATCTTTATTCAAGCCACGAAAGTTAACCAGCGAAGAGCAGTGAGTGATTTCTGTCTTTTCTTTTGTTCTTTGATTTACATCAATGACACAGACCGCAGCAGGGTTCACTTTAAAAGCAGCGCTGTCTCTTTAGAAGCTGATGCACATGACGTGGATCTGATACACATCTGGTTTTACTCCCAGCTCTCATTTAGGATGCTTAACTCGTCTAGACTGTGTTTACGAGGTCACTCTTAAAAACAGGCATTTTACATAACTGTGTGTTTTTGTCCCGCTTAAGAGAACTCTGAACTGTTCTGTGCGCGTGAATGTGTCGGATGCCTATGTTCTCAGAGAGCAGAGTGTGGTGCCAGTACCGTCTTAACCTCTCTTTTGCGTCTTATTGAGCTTGATAGCATGTACATACTGTACACAGGAAAAAATGGATGCTGCGTTAAATATTTTTAACGCGTTAAACTGAAAAAAAAATTTGTAAAACTGACAGCTCATAAACTCCTGGGCAAATAAATAAATAAATTATTAATAGGCCAAGCAAAAAAAAAAAAGTCTAAACATTTAGATTTTAATGGTGCGCCTTTTACCATTTAGCAAGAATTGCATAAATACTGTAGAAAAAGTTTCTTTAAATGATTAAGCTGTGTGGATAAACTTTGCAGACAGCTTTTTACAGGAAGGAGTGTCAGTGGTGTTCCACTCAATGTTAATGAGACCAAATGTTTTTTATAAGGTTGAAATCTGGACTCTGACCAGGGCAAAACATGAGCCTGATGGACTTGTTCTGAATCCACTTCTTGGATTGAAAAATAATAATCTGATCTTTCCTCTAGATATATGTGACCCTGGACCACAAAACCAGTCATAAGGGTCAATTTTTTTAAATTGAGATTTATACATCATCTGAAAGTAATCAAATAATTTTTCCATTGATGTATGGTTTGTTAGGATCGGACAATATTTGGCCGAGATACAACTATTTGAAAATCTGGAATATAAGGGTGCAAAAAAATCTAAATATCGAGAAAATTGCCTTTAATGTTGTCCAAATGAAGTTCTTAGCAATGCATATTACTAATCAAAAATTAAGTTTTGATATATTTACAGTAGGAAATTTACAAAATATCTTTATGGAACATGATCTTTACTTAATATCCTAATGATTTTGGCATAAAAGAAAAATCAATCATTTTGACCCATACAATGTATTGTTGGCTATTGCTACAAATATACCCCAGCGACTTAAGACTGCTTTTGTGCTCCAGGGTCACATATTTTCAGTTGTGGGAAGCAAGCCAATATACACGCATTCACACATACATACAAACACATACACACAGCTGCTTAGTCATGCTTTAGTAATGAGAGTAAATGTTTCCCAGCAGAGTTCAATTTTTTTGAAAGAATCTCAAACATATTGTCTTTATGAGGAAGATTAATGTCCTGTTTATGAGAAGGGCATTCAACCCAACCCTTCTCATATAACCACAGTCAGATATGACCTTAAGAATGAAACAGCTGCTGAAGAGTCTCTGGATCAATAAATAAGGAACAAGGAAACTGAACACAAATACAACGTGAAGGTTTTCCAGCGTGAAGGTTTTCCAGCAAACATTGCTGGAAACCTCTTCCTGATTCCTTTTATCGGTGTCTCCCTCCTGTTTGCTCTTTACTTCCTGGTGACACGAGACAGTTTGCAAATATGTTTTGGGAAACACATCATTCTGTTTATTGTTCTGTAGTTCTATTCGGTGTTCTTAAGAAGTTCTCTTCAGTTCTCTTCAGTTATTCAGCAAAAGTGCAACGTTTGTTTTGCATGTCGACTCAAGTGCTGCAAAGAGGAAAAAGATGACAAGCAAAATTATTAAAAGTTCACTGAATGCATATTATTATTATTGTTGTTATAAAGTGGAATTTAAGCATTTCGACCAGTTGTCTCAGACTTTTGGCTCCCACTGTATGTCTTTCCATTAAAAATGATTGCTATCCTCAATCTCTCCTACAAGACCACACGATGTTGGACTGGCTTTATGTTTCTCCTTACATTGTATAATCATTAACAGGTTTGCAAAGCAGGTGAGTCAGAGAAGGAAGTGAATAAACAGCACACAGAAGATTCTCCTAGACTCACATTAATTAGATTTTTTTTATTCATTAAAATCGTAGATGCACAAAATAATACAAAGAATATAGCTGGGCCAATGATGTGATGCTATAATGTATCTTAAAATAAGAAATTCAATTCATACAGACAGTGACTTGAATATAAGCTACAACTCTTCTGTGATGAACTAGTTTTCATTTTCCAAATTAAAACACTTTTTGTAGTGTAAAACAAAAATACAGCATGTTGCTGTAATAAAATACGTTAAATGGAATGGTTAAAATGAAAATAACCTCGATCCTCTGCCTCCATCTCGTGGTTAAAAGTGGCACCTACATCAGATAAAGATCACGCACTCTTTGAACAGAGCTCACAGAACTTGTTTTATGATTATAAATGATTCGAGCATTTAAAAATATATATATATAGTTCTAAAGATTTTTATATCAGTAGATATCTTATTAAACGTCCCTGTATTTTCCATGTTTACCACACGATGGCGCATCCATACAGGTGTAACGTCCACAATCGAAAGCTGTGAAAATATATTTATGTAAATAAAAATGTACGTTTATTTTGAACATTCATGGCTCGTGATTTATTTTATCCTAAAATAAAAATGTGTGCACTTCTTCCATAATGAGCTTGTTTCCAGTAGTGAAATAGGCCTAATAAAAAGCTGCTTTGACGATTCACTAACGTATATATATAAGCATTTTACAAAAATGATCCTAATATTAGGCCCATATTAGAATTATAGAAAGTATATTATTATTATTATTATTATTAATGATAATAATAATAATAATTTAGGAACAAAACTTATTCTCAAATTAGCCTCAAAATGATCAAATAAGTGTATAATTAAAATATAATGTTATGTAACATCATTTTAATTATAAATCATTTTTGTAATTGTATGTTAAACTGTTACATTTCAAGTCAAAGTTAAACCGAATAAACTTAAAGGTGCAATAGGTGATTGTCTTCAGAAACATTTTTTGTTATGCTGGTTGAAAGTCTCTTCACATCCCGATAGCAATCATTAAGTTAAGTGGTCTAAATGTATTTATCTGTATTTATATATTCTGTGGAAGGCGTAGGACCAAGAAATGTTCGTCCAATCAAAACGCTCGGTCCGAGCATTTTAATTGGCTTTCTTACCTGCCTGTCAAGGTATGTATTAGCATACCACTGCGCACCCCGTGCGCGCAGACAGGATACGTCATCAGCGCGTTCACGCACGCTGTGCAGACAGAACGAGAATGGCAGACAAACATCAACAACCCGATCTTCCTTCCTTCCATTTTGCATGTCTCACTTAGTTAACACACCCGATTCAGATAACCAGCTCGAAGAGAGCTACGTGCATGAACTGTGTTCCGATCGATATGATAACACAGTGTTCACTAAAGTTTATTTAACTTCGGAACATGGCCTGGAATTGGGAACCATTGATGTAGCCTATTGTAGTAATGTCGTCTCTGGTATTCTGGTCTGTGAGTGAGCGTATATGCGTTCAGGGGGCGTGGCTTTGGACGGCGATTGCAGGGAGGGTGGGACGTTCGCTTTCAGTGCTATCAGGCTAAAGTTAGCATTTTCCAAGATCTCCTACTGCACCTTTAAAATGAAATAACAGCAACTAAATAATAATTTCCGATAAACTTACCTGTATTTTCCCTGTTTACCACACGGTGACGCATCATAACACAGGTGCACACCAAAAAGAGTAGTAATAATTTTTTGTTATTTCAAAGTAGTACTATATTAGAATTATTGATTTTCATGTAATATTGTCATATTATCAATACGCAGTCAAAAAAATGATATAAACTAGGGGAACTGCAATAAAACGAGGTGCCTGGAATGTTAATAACATAATAATTGCAGTTACTACCATGAAATATAAACGAAAGCCCACTTCACATTCCAGCCCATTAGATGGCAGAAATGCACTGACATTACAGTAGAAATCAAAGCAGAAGAAGAGGCTGAACAACAGCTGTGCTGGGGAAAGTGAAGAAAGGAGGAAAAACACCTGACATCTGCATGACATGAACATGAGTGATCCAGAAACCTGCAGAGTGAATGAAGATGATCCTGAGCAACAGACAGGTTAGTGTCTGTCTCTGATGACTGATGAAGAACATCACACACCTTCAGCAGATCTCAAGCTTATCTGACACATTTAAAAAGAAAAAAAGAGCCTCTACCACTAGCATTCTCTATTCCTTTACTATTCTATCTACTTGCTTTCTTTTTTTAGTTATGATCAAAAATGACCCTCTAACACTATAGCATTCTCTATTGTTTTTCTATTCTTTTGACTTGTTTTATTTTTATTTAAAAAAAAGACCCTCTACGACTAGCGTTGCCTATTCTTTTTCCATTCTATCTACTTGTTTTCTTTGTATTCATTATTTTAAAAAAGCCCTTGCTACGTTTACTGCGTTAGGCTAACCAAGTCTTGTCACAGTACTTACCTATTAATGCTCTTTTGTTGGTTTTGATTGCTTCTTGTCCTCATTTGTAAGTTGTTGTTATTTTTATTTTTTTGCATAAAAGCGTCTGTTAAATGTAAAATTTAAGAGCTGTAAAATAGCCAATATTATAAGGCAAGAGCTAAAAACAGTGACAAAATGCATCTAAATAATAATAATAATGCTTGATGCTTAACACATAAAAAGATAACAAAAATCTAGAAATGTTAATCAAGACAAATCCTATCTGATTTTTTTTTAAACATTGAATTTTTATGGTTACAGTTTATAGATAGATATTAGCTTGATTTCTGTGTATTTCTGCTAAGAAATTGTTATATTACGACATTTGTTCTCCTTGAATTGAATTGTGATTTTTTTTTTATTCCATGTTTTAATATGTAATTTCAGATCTGTTGGAAGTCATTGAATTGGAGGATATACCTAATCATTTCATAACCGGAGAAAAATCTTCACATGAAAGTAATTTTTCTCAGAAAAGTGCTCCGAGAGCAAGATCTACCCGTTTGCTCCCCTGCCCTCACTGTCAAAAGAGTTTCACTCGTAAAGGAGATCTGGACAGACACGTGCGAATCCACACGGGAGAAAAGCCGTTCACCTGCGTTCAGTGCAGGAAGAGCTTCACGCTAGCAGACGGTCTCAGAAAACACCTGCGCACTCACTCCGGAGTCAGATCCTTTCACTGCGACCAGTGTGGAAAGACCTTTATTTTGCCTTCGCACCTGAAAAGACACAAGCTCATTCATGCAGATATCAAACCATACTTGTGTTCTCTCTGCGGAAAGAGCTTTTCTCAGCTGGACTGTTTGAAAAAGCATCAGAAGACACACAGCGGAGCGAGACCTCACGAATGCTTCGAGTGCGGGAACGCTTTTAATTCAGCCGACACTTTGAAACGGCACCGCAGGATTCACACCGGAGAGAAACCGTACACCTGCTCCGAGTGTGGCAAGAGTTTCACTCAGTCCGGACACCTGAGACAACACGAGAGAGTTCATACGGGACAGAAGCCGTACTACTGCTCGCTTTGTGGAAGGAGTTTTAGCACAGCAAGGAATCTGCCGGCTCATATGAAAAAACATCGACCTGACACGTATCAGATAAACCAAGATGATGAAAACTGATGCAGAAAGACTTTATTGCACTGAAATCACACAGGATTATTCTATATGTGCTGTATGTCTGTAAACTAAGAGCGTTAGAAATTTACCCAGGCAACTGTTACAGCATGCATGGATGAACATATATTATCACATTCATAAGTAAATAAGGTCAGTTTGGTTATTTTAGAGAGAGAAAAATATTTAATTTAGCTTTATTTTCACAAAGGGGAAAACAAACTTTTCGGTTCAGGCCCGTTATATGGTAGTATTTCCCTATTTTAAATGTATAAATTAATTAATTTAAATTAATAGGCCTAATTCTTTATCATCATAACAGAAGTCAAGCTTTCTTAAAGTTTTAGCCATATTTATTATTATAAGTCAGTTATATTATTGGAAGTCAGTGATTATTTTAAAGATTTTTTTTCTGTGCATAAAGTACAAAAATATTAACTGTGAATAATTTGTTGTGTTGTGATGATATTTGCTGGTCAAGGTCATTATTAGAAATGAGTTTTTTATTGTCAGCCCTGTAATATTTAACTCTCAAACTATTTTCAAATAAACTATTTAAACAAAAAAGCTTTTAACAATTTTTTTTTTTAATTATAGAACATATAACCGTGTTTATTATTATTTATATAATATGTTATTTTCTAAATATTTTGTATAAAAATTTTTTTTTTTTAATATTCGGCACGTGCTTTTATCCAAAGCAGTATTATTTTATTGTCATTGAGATATTAAAGTTATAGTTATTTTAATATTTTGAATTATTTTTCATTTTTTTCCATCTTCATATTTATTAATTATTTTATTTTAGTATTTTTGTTGTGGTTTTGTCATTTTTATTAGAGATTTTTTCTGTTTTAGTTTCAGTTATTTTAATACATAAAGAAATTTTGCTTGGGCAACAAGCTGAAATAAAATAAGTTTAAGCTCTTTTTATATTTCAGTTCATGATTATTTTATTTCAAGCAATCATTTGTATTAATTTAGTTGTTTCTGCACCTGTGTTGCTTTTATCCAGAGAGACGAAACAGTCACGTGGTTTTCAGCTGACTGAGACGTCGAACGTCATAGATCACGTGTTGATGGCTTCGAATCTTCGGCGTCGAATGTAAACATCTATTCTTTCGAATCTTTTCAAAACGCGTTCGATTTCGGATAACCGAGCTCCAGCGTTTGGGACAGGCCCTTAGTTTAAATGCTGGAGAACATCCACCTCTGTGCAGCATGAGAAGAAGACAGGAGGAATTACTTCAGCTGAGCTCCTAATGACATCCTGCTGTAAAGATGGAGTTTATTAAAGAGGAGAATGAGAACACGAGTGATCCAGAACCCTGCAGAATTAAACAAGAAGATACCGAGGAACAGATAGGTTCACGTAGAGTTTATTATTGGTTCTTTATTAATGACTGCTGAGGAACATTAACGTCACAAACCTTCAGCAGACTACTGGCTTCAAATTTTTGAAGCTGTCAAATTATGTAAATAATAATAATTGTTGTTATTCTTATTAATAACTATTATTACATGTAGAATTATTATTATATAACTTATAATTTGACTACTAATATTAATAATAATTGTAATATTAATTATATATATATATAATTGTATTAGTAGTAGTAATTAATACATTTTTTATTAAATTGTTATAAGATTTGACAGCTTCCAGTAGTTTTTGTAATGTAAATATATACTTTTATGTATTTTAATACCAAAAATGTTATATAAAATAAAATAAAAAACATCAATGGTTTATCTGCCAATACATTTTGTTGTTGTTATTATTATGTAATTTATAATTTAACAGTTAATATTAATAATAAAGAAGAATTGTACATAACGTTAGTAGTATTATTATATAATTTGACAGTGTCTGGTGTTTTTGTAAATATGCATAATTACATAATGCTTAAAAAATGTCACTTAAAAATAATGGCCTGCTTGCCATTAAATGTTGTTGTTATTATATAATGTATAAATTGACAACTAATATTATTAGTGAAGAAGAAGAAGAATTATATGTAACATTATTATTATTGTTATATAATTTGTCCGTCGTATAAATATATATCATAAGGATTCATCTTTTAAAGGCCTTCCTGTCATTAAATATTATTATTTAATTCATCATTTGATGCTAATATTAATAATTAATAATAATAAGAAGATAACGTTAGTGTTATTATTAGTGCTGTCAAACGAATAATCGCGTCCAAAATAAAAGTTTTTGTTTACATAATATATGCATGTGTGATGTGTATATTTATTATGTATATATAAATACACACACATGCATGTATATATTTCAGAAAAATAGGTTATGTTTATATATTAAATATATTTATTTATAATATAAATTATATAAATGTAGTCATGTAAATATTTTCGAAATATATACTGTATGTGTGTGTTTTTATATATGCATAATATACACAGAACACACACATATATTATGCAAACAAAAACTTTTATTTTGGATGCGATTCATCTTTTGACAGCACTACTGGAGTTTCCTGGTGTTTTTGTACATTATAGAATTATATAGTATTAAAATAAAACCTAAAAAGAAATATTTGAATGGCCTTCCTACCTTTAAATTCACCTTTAATTGATCCGTCTTTATTTGATCGTTTACATTTCACAACTGTTCCTCTTAAATTGAATTGAACAATTTCATGTCTTCATTTTAGACCTGATGGAAGCGGATGAAGTGGAGGAGAAACAGTATCAGCATCACTTCACAACTGGAGACAAATCAGGAGGCAAAAATTATTTCATCTGCCCGCAGTGCGGAAAGAGTTTCCCGCATAAAGGAGACCTTAATAAACACATACGGATCCACACCGGAGAGAGACCGTTCATGTGCATGCAGTGTGGAAAGAGCTTTACGCAGAAAGCAAACCTTAACAGACACCTGCGCGTTCACTCTGGAGAAAGACCCTTCACATGCCCTCAATGCGGACGGAGCTTCACATCCACCAGCATCCTCAAACACCATCTGCGCTCTCACTCCGGAGTCAAGTCTTTCAGCTGCGATCAGTGCCATAAGAAGTTTATTTTAGCCAAACTGTTGAAAAGACATCTGAAGATGCATGCAAACCAGAAGCCGCACTTGTGCTCTTTCTGCGAGAAGAGTTTTTCACAAATGGACTATTTTATCGAGCACCAGAAAATGCATATCGGTGGGAGACCTCATAAATGCTCTGAGTGCGGAAATGCCTTTAATACGGCCGATTCCTTGAGACGACATCAGAGGATTCATACCGGAGAGAAACCGTACATTTGTTCGCATTGTGGAAAGGGTTTCATTCAGTCGGGACATTTGAGAGCGCATGAGAGATTGCATACGGGAGAGAAGCCGTATCAGTGCTATTCATGTGAGAGGAGCTTCACACATTCAAGTAAACTATTGACTCATGTTAGAAAGCGTTGCCCGAAGTTGTTGTCCATCACTTTAAAGGAATAGTTCACCCAAAAATGAAAATTTGCTGAAAATATACTCACTCTCAGGGCATTCAAGATTAGGATGAGTTTGTTTCTTCATCAGATTTGGAGAAATGTAGCATTCCATCACTTGCTCAGCAATGGATGCTCTGCAGTGAATGGGTGCCGTCAGAATGAGAGTCCAAACAGCTGATAAAAACATCACAATAATCCACAAGTCATCAACACCTCTCCAGTCCATCAGTTAATGTCTTATGGAGAGAAAATAGTCCATAATGGATAGTAACGCTTCCTCCAGACCATCTCCTGTTGTCTCTCACATCAAAACCCAGCCACGTATTTGTTTAGAGCTGTTTTGGACTGGTTTGGCTTGTAAATGTGTTTGATCTGTGCAGATTTCTCTCCAGATTCAGACCAGACACCTTTTTACTGGAGAAAGCAATATGTGACCCTGGACCACAAAACCAGTCATAAGGTTCAATTTTTTCGAAATTGAGATTTATACACTGAATAAATAATCTTTCCATTGATGCATGGTTTGTTATGAAAGGACAATATTTGACTGAGATACAACTATTTGAAAATCTGGAATTTGCGGGTGCAAAAAAATAAAATCTAAATATTGAGAAAATGGCCTTTAAAATTGTCCAAATTAAGTTCTTAGCAATGCATATCACTAATCACAAATTAAGTTTTGATATATTTACGGTAGGAAATTCACAAAATATTTTCATGGAACATGATCTTTACTTAATATCCTAATGATTTTTGGCATAAAAGAAAAATCAATAATTTTGACCCATACAATGTATTTTTGGATATTGCTACAAATATACCCATGCTACTTATGACTGCTTTTGTGCTCCAGGGTCACATATTATTGACAAAGGACTCGTATTTTACCCAGAAGCAATTTTATAAAGTTAAAAACACCTTAATGATTGACTTGTTTCTTACAAACTCACAGCTTTTGCTTCACAAGACATTAACTGATGGACTGGAGTGGTGTGGATTATTGTGATGTTTTTATCAGCTGTTTGACTCTCATTCTGACGGCACCCATTCACTGCAGAGCATCCATTGCTGAGCAAGTGATGCAATGCTTTTTGATGGGTTTATGGGGAAGCTTTTCATTCCATTTGTCAATCAAAAGCAACCTTATGCAATTAAATCTCCATTTTTAACAGCTTAATTTAAGAAAGCTGATGCACTGAGATAGAGACTGTCTTCTCTTGCACTGAAACCCATCCAGTTCGTCTCGCAGCATGTGGAAATATAAGCCAGGTGTTTTGTTGTTTCTATAAATGTTAATTTTTCTGTCACACACAGATGTAAATATGGACATAATGCTTTTCCAAAGTTTAAATCTAAAGTACATATTTTTGTGTAGACTTTTATATTTACAATGCATACAAATTAAATGCTTTTTTGTTTAAAGGCAAAGTACATTTACATTCATGCATTTGGCAGATGCTTGTTCCATGAACGATGTATAAATAATGTTTTTGTGCCGATGTTTTTGTGAATGTTATTAAACACCAGATATCTTTGAACAGATGTTCCATCAATGTTATTGGAAGAACGCTTTTTAATCAGTTTTCTAGAGCCTTGTGAGAACATTCTTACAGCGCTCCATCAGCTGGATACATAGCAAATAATTAATGTTGTTGATGTTAATGATGTTTTAATTTAAATTATTTATGTTTTTTTTTTAAATGTATACATCATCTCAAAATATGGACTTTCAAAAACATAAATAGGAAATCAGAAAACTGGACTTTATCTGTGGAACTGCATTGAAAAAAATACTTGTTTTACAGCTGCCATCTAGTGGTTGAAATATGAACATGTTCAACAATATGATAAAAAAAATCAATAAAAACTATTACACTAAATAACGCTCATAAGTACAAAGATTTTGACATTATATTTAGAAGCCAGTGTTCAGATCAGCTATGAATTTTTTTTTACACTTTTTTTTTTTTTTTACATCATAATTCATCACAGGCACCCAAATCATATATTAAGATGTAACTGGTTCCCATTTTTTTAACTAACATATATTTCAAATATCCCTTTGCAATAACAATATGAATTTTATGCATATAGAAACCACAACCGTGCATGCAATAACAACTGTAGTTTATTTTAGACTATTTTATTTTAGGATTTTAATGCACACAATGTTATAACGGGGAATAAATCAAAGGAAATAATCACCTCTCATATTCAGACTTCATTCTCTTCCTCTCCAGTACAGTAGATGGCGGACTGTTTAGTTAGTTCGCAATCCGTCAGTGTTCCCACAATAGAAGAAAGAAATGGTTCCTCAACAACAGAAGAGCGTTGTGAAATCATCAGCTGGAGTCTAACATGAGTTGGTTTTCATGTTTTAACAGTTCAAGATTGTGATGATACTCATACGTGGTGTGTGCGGTTGGTATTTACAACAGAATCACTGCAGAATAAACAGTACTGCTGTCTGTTGTTATGAATATGCATAGGAATAGGTATAGCTAAAGTTAAATTAACTATTTTTTTATTTTCATATTTTGAGTATACATTATAAATAATATTACTGTGATTATATTATATTGGGAAATTATATTGTATTTGTTATATTATTTTATATTCGTTTATTGTCGTGTTTTTATTTGTCTTACAAAATTGAATTGTTTGGAAGCTATGTTTCCGACATGAAATTTTAAAAATAAAAGGTAGGCTTATTGCTACTTTTTAATCTCACAATTCTGACTTTTTCCCCTTTTTCTAAGAAAGTTTATATCTCGCATTTCTGCGGGAGAAAAGTATGAATTGTGAGATAAAAAGTCGCAATTAGGCTTATTTTATTTTTAATTTGGTGGCTGAAAATAATTAGAATTGGGAGACGTAGTCAGAATTCAGAGGATAAAGTCAGGATTAAGACATGTTAACACGCAATTACGAGTTTATAATTTGAAATTGCGAGATATAAACTCACAATTATGAGAAAAAAGTTTAGCAATTGCTAGAAAAAAAGTCAGAATTGTAAGATCAAATGACGCAATTAGCTTTTTTAATTGATTTATTCCTTGGCGGAAACAAGTTTCCATAGAATTGCGACGTTTGATTTGAAGAATGCATTGATATTGTATTGATTTTTCTTTATTAATCTGGATATATTTACTCATTCTTTTAGAAAGTGGCTTGCATCACTCTTTGTAAATGCTGTAAGCTTTTGTGCATGACTCTTTCTGTTTTCCAAAAGCATTGTGTTTAAGATACAGTGATGCAATGTGAGATAAAATTAACTGAATATTCCTACAGATGAAGAAGAAGAAATGTTTCCAAAAAGCAAGAGAAATTGACATTAAAAACAATGGAATTTACTCGAGGATAATGAGAGCCTAAGCGATCCAAAAGCTAAAAAAACAAACCGGTTGGTGTCTATGCATTTAAAAATCAATTTCTAATAATGTTACTTTCCAGTTTTATTATTGAATTTGAATTATGACACAGACTAATGTGTTTATTTTAGAAGTCATGGAACTGATGGAAGTGGAGGAGAAACTCAAGAAGAAACCAAGACGAGAATCTTTTAGTTCCACACAAAAAAGAACATCTCAAAGAACCAAGAACACTCGCACCTGCCCTCATTGTGGAAAGAGTTTCATGCGTAACGAACACCTCAAAATGCACCTGCTGATTCACACCGGAGAGAAGCCCTTCACGTGCCTTCAGTGCGGACGAAGCTTCAGATGTAAAGGAGACCTGACGAAACACACCAGGATCCACACCGGAGAGCGTCCGTATGCGTGTCCTCAGTGTGGAAAGAGCTTCCCGAGCGCATACGTCCTCAAAAGTCATCAGCTCCTCCACTCTGGAGTGAGATCTTTTAGCTGTGATCAGTGCGAGAAAACCTTCATCCTGGCCACGCACCTACAGAGACACTTGAAAATTCATAAAGATAGGAAGCCTTGCTTGTGTTCGCTCTGCGGGAAGAGGTTTTTGCATTTAAAGGAGCACCAGAAGATGCACGCCGCTGTGAGAGCTCATCTGTGCTTTGAGTGTGAGAAGAGCTTTACTTCTGCCAAATCACTCAAACAGCATCAAAGGATTCACACTGGAGAGAAACCTTATAAGTGCACACGCTGTGAAAAGAGATTCACTCAGTCGGGAACCCTGAAGGATCATGAGAGAGTTCATACTGGAGAAAAGCCGTATCAGTGCTCTTCATGCGGGAGGAACTTCAGCAGATCAAGTAATCTACGGACTCACATGAGAAAGCGCTGCCGAAGTTAAACTGTTTGATATTCAGATGAAGTCAAAGATATAATAACATGTTAGTTAAAAAAAAGACATCTTTCTGGAGATGTTTAGATGCTTTAGAAAGTAAAAATAGTATGAGTGTGTGTGTGTGTGTGTGTGTGTGTGTGTGTGTGTGTGTGTGTGTGTGTGTGTGTGTGTGTGTGTGTGTGTAAAACATTTTATTTAGGTATGTAACCTTTCTGGCATGCAATATGTTAAAATAATGAACTTCTACCAATTAATTTAGAAACTAATGAAATCACCAAACTAGTATTGTATATGCATCATATGAGTTTTAATATTGTGTATAAATGTGTATTTTAGCAAACTGTTCCTAAAAACTAAAGGTGAAAGATGAATTTTTTACAGCTGATGTTTTGAAGCTGAATATAATTTTTTACATTCCATTACTGACTATAAAACATCAATAATGTGATTATATGCCGTCATGTCTGTCTGCACCATTAAAGTTCCAGTTAAGAATGACTCGCCTGTTTCTGCTTCATATTGAATATCTTGCACCTGTACACCCCACATCTTCTGGCATTGTAGTTATGTTAAAAGTTATGGTATGATGTCTTTATGTTTATCAAAGAAAAGGTACTTTTTAATTAGCATTTTGAAAATGGGGTTTTATTATGATAATGTGAATAACGATTAATCTGTTTATTCTATCAGTCGAGTAGTTTCACATTCATAAGTGTAAGCCCTGTTTCACAGTGGTTTGTAAGGAATTGGAAAATAAGTCTTGTACTATCCAACATAGTACTCATAGAAAGGCAATTAAAACTGTCCATCTGTGTTCTATCTTCAAACACTTTGAGTGATACAAAGGTACTGTATGTCTGTGATTGTAATTTTATTTTTTTCTCTTGCTGGTTCCCCTGGATTCATATTGCCTGTTGTTTAAAGCATAATAAAAAAAATCTTGCACCAGTACATAGCCTAATCTAAGTTGACAATAGTTGGGCAGTGCAGTAGATGTTCCTCAAGATGGCATCTTTTGTTTTCATTTCACCAGCGTGAGCTGCAGAACCAAATGACACCCAGCTCCCTCTCTGGATGAAACTGGACCTGATGGGTGGAGTTATGTTTAGAGTTAGGGTTAGGGTTAGGGTTAGGTTGGGTCGTCTAGTTCCACCCATTGGCTCTGCAGTGAGCAGCCTCTCTTTTTGAATCCATTTTGATTTCTAACTGCTTTAAAACTGCTGTTTACCAGACTGTGAGTATCCTACATTTATTTGATCATATATCGGGAGAAATGTAAATCTGACAACTTATGTATGTGTACAGTACGATTCCCGAAAGAATGATTCTTAAGAGTCGGTTCATTTTAGTGAATCAAAAACAGTTACATATTGTCTCATATTGAATCCTAATAAATTACTTCCCTCGTGTCCGACTAAGAATTAACCAATGTTTTTCGACTAGTTGTTCACAAGACAACGTGTAAAGATGAAATTGTTTCTGTTTGAGCAAAATAGGCTACTTAATAATTGAGCTTGTTTGTTTAACATTGGAAATTTGAGTAGGAATGCTTTTCTCCATCCATATGCTGAACAAATTAATTTTCTTAGTCTGTTAGGAGGTGATACACTATTGTAATTATTAATAATAATTGTATTTATTGTATCTACAGCCACTTGCATCATGTGTTGAGAAAAGTCATGAAAAAAATTTACTTCAGTTTACAAGTAATCACAGGGTTTCAACACTGAAAAGAATTAGCCATTGGGGGGGGAAAAACATATTAAATGACATTCATATAATGTGTTTTAAACATCTTAATATTTATTGTTTATAATATAATTTTAAATATTCATATATTTTTATACGTTCCTATATTTTAAATATTCCTACATTTTAAGTATCTCTTTCCAAAATATTTTTATAGCAAGGACTTTTTGATACTCCAGTGGAATCCCTAAAACTGTGCATTAAATAAGAACATAACATGATTCCAGTCCGGATGGCAGATTAATTTAGTTTATATCCAGCCTGTAATCCTTCATGGTGATCAATACATCTTCAGCTGCAGTTTAAACGTGAGTTTGTTTTTATGTCTTAACAATTTAACATTCGGATCATCTCATTTATAATACAGAGCTCAGAGACATACACTGTGCCGGGGTTTTAAATGAGCAATGCCACTTTGCTTACATATCCAGACTAGAACAAAGAAATCTTCAAATTAGTTTAAAAACATAAAAGACCTAGTTCTTGGTCAGGATCCGTGAGGGTCAGGGGTCACATCTGGCAGGAAATGGGAGATTACACACCAGTCAGCAGCAGAACCGAATTCTTCAAAATCTTTCAGTCTTTCTCATATTCTAGTGACTGCTGTGAAATTGAGATCATTTTACCAAACATTATGCCAAACATAAAGGGGAAAAAAACAACAGATTCATAAGATAAATCATATGTGATATATACTGTATATTCTTAGTGAACCTTCAGTAAAACTTGCTGGGGCCGGTTGCATAAATTGCTTAGTCTTAAAAATATATTGCTTTTTAAAGTCAATTACAAAACGGTAGATTGGCCCAATTTGAATTGTAAAAGTAAGACTAATTACCTCTTGGCTAACTGCTAGTTGGTCAAACTAGTACTTAAGCCACAGTCTTACCATAGTGGCTATGTTTATGCAGCTGGCCCCTGGTGAGGGAGAAGTGTGAGGGGAGGGGGAGATTTTGCACGAGGTTCTCCCAAGTGCCTTTTTTTTTTTTCATTTCAGCTATGTGAACTTTTTGTCTATCGTGGTTAGTGAAATGACTCTAAATCTAATGTTTGCCAGCTGTGCATACATTCATTTTATTTGTTGGGATGTATTTGTTGTTTGTGTATTGAGCTCGACCATTGTTCAATTCCTGAAAAAATGACTCTTAAAAGTCAGAAACAAATCAAAAACAATCAGCCATAGCGGTTACAGAATCAAATTTGCTCTAATTGTCTCTAATTTTCACACATTGACACATCTAATTGATGTCTGATTACAGCAATCAGCACTCAGTTATATGACTGTTTGATCAAAACACTTAAAGCTGGATGATTGAGAGTGATTGTAAGTGTTTGAGCATCTGCTAAATGAGCTCCATTGACTCCTTCAGTGAAGCCGCTCCACAGCCGTTCATGAGAGTTTAAATGCTGGAGAATATTCCCATCTTCCCAGAGCTGAAGAAGAAGCAAGCAGGAGGAATTACTCCAGGAGAAACTACTGACATACTGTTGGAAAGATGGAGTTTGAGGAAGACCCCTGCAGAATGAGAGATGAAGATACAGAGGAACTAACAGGTTGTTGTTCTCCTTCATTCTCTTTCACGACTGATGAGGAACATTGAGATGAAAACTGATATACTTCTAAAACTAGATTCTAGATAAATTTTTACTAAATTAAGCTTCACTTTCGTTTTTGCTTCACATTTGTCCTTCTTTAAATTAATATTGTGAATTTAATTGGTTGGTTTTAGACTTGATGGAAACGAATAAAGACAAATGGCTTCATCTTTTCACAGATGAAGATGGAAAGGATGTCAGTCAAAAACAAGCTAGAAAAACTGGAGTCAAAAAACCTTTCACCTGCTCTGATTGTGGAAAGAGTTACTCACGTAAACAAGACCTTAACAGACACACGAGATTTCACACTGGAGAAGGACTGTTCACATGCACTCAGTGTGGAAAAGTTTTCACAGGGAAAGGAAAGCTGGATGTACACATGAGAGTTCACACTGGAGAAAGACCGTTCACATGCACTCAGTGTGGGCAGAGTTACATACATAAACCAGACCTTAACAGACACATGAGGATTCACACTGGAGAGAGACCATATACATGCACTCAGTGTGGAAAGAGTTTCATTGACACACAAATCTTAAAATCGCACATGAAAGCTCACACTGGAGAAAAACCGTTCACATGCACTCAGTGTGGAAAGAGTTTCGTATCCAGAAGCTTTTTTAAAGATCACCTGCTCTCTCACACTGGAGTGAAGTCGTTCCATTGTGATCAGTGTGATAAAACATTTGCTGTGGCATCAAACTTAAAAAGACATCTCAAAGTTCATGCTGGTGTGAAGCCTCACTTTTGTTCTTTTTGTGAAAAGACTTTTGCACATCTGCAAAAGTTAAAAGAGCATGAGCGTATTCATACTGGTGTGAAACCTTATGTGTGCTTGGACTGTGGAAAGAGCTACACTACAGCATGTGCATTAAAAGCACACCAAAGGATTCACACTGGAGAGAAACCTTACATGTGCTCACACTGTGAAAAGTGTTTTGCTCATTTATCATCCCTGCAATTTCATGAGAGAGTTCATACTGGAGAGAAACCGCACCAGTGCCCTTCATGTGGGAAGAGTTTTGCTCACTACCCAAATCTGCACGTTCATATTAAAAAAAAGCGTTGCCCAAAGTTGCCCAAGTGAGAAATGTTTCAGATTTCAGATTCATCACATCACATTTGGTAAACAACTCTTGAAAGATGAAATATATTAAATCAGTCAAATTTGGCTATGGGGTTGGATGGGGTTAATTTACGATGTCTTTTATTCTGTATATGCCCTCTTAAATGTATTCTGATTGCATGTTTTGAAACAATGAGAAATAAAAAGGAACAAAAAAAATTACATGACTCATTTAATGACATAAAGCTGACACAAAATGTTTTAACATAGTATGTAACATTGCTTAAAAACACTTTTCAATTTATGTTTAAACAATGAAAAAATATGAAGCTGAAATTGGTTATAAAGGCTGAATGAAATGCATGTGTTCTGTGTCCAATTCAGCAGTGAAATACTAGTCTAGCAGCTATCTAGTGATGAAATAACATTTAAGATCATCTAGGCTTTTACTTTATATGGTTATACTTTATACCTTTGACAAACGTATCTTGGAAAAAATAGTTTAGATCCTCAGAATAATTACATGAGTTTCTCAATGAAGTTGACAATAATATGGCAGTACCACACATTTGACTCTAGATGGCGCAATATGTATTCATTTCAACAATGCGATGTTGTTGTCTCCATTGAGGTTAATGAAACTAGTGTGCTGTGTTTATCAGACTGGGGACATGGTTTTATTTTTATCGAGAGAAACCTCAATCTGATAATAACAGTGACATGCTACAGTTGAAGGAGTCCAGAAGGTAAATACAACTGCATAGGCTACTGTCACCTATATAACATCTTATTTCTATATCAGTACTTATAATTTACTTAAGTTTTGTTTTTCACCAAACCCTATCGTATACCCCCAGAAATATTGGAATACACAGCATGTGTTTTATATGGGACCATTCTGTAATAATTTTGCACCTTTTTTAAAAGCTTGATTGCAGCACTGGAGGAAAAACTCAGCGTTTTGAGCGGTGAGTGGATTCTAACTTAAACACCTCTGATTGGCCATTGCGTTCAAGAATTTAACAGACATGTCTGTGATTGCCTACAATGCTCAACACTGCAAAATCCGTTGTAAACAGAAACCTTTGATGCTCTTGAGAGCGCAAACACAAATAAGCACTGGATCTTGCATTGAAACAATGAGAAATAAAAAGGAACAAAAATACATGACTCATTTAATGACATAAAGCTGACATACAGCGTTTTAACAATGTATTTATTGTATTTTATGTTTAAACATAATGAAAGAAGATGAAATTGGTTATAAAGACTGAATGAAATGCATGTCTTATTCAGCAGTGAAATACGAATCTATCTAGTATTAAAAAGATTAAATAAAATTTAAGGTCATCTGTGCTTTTATCTTATATGGTTATATGGAGTCCAGAAGGTAAATACAACTGCATACTCCTCCTTAGCCTATTTGAAGCTTAATCTACCCAGAATTATCTATTATGGCGAAATGACTGTCAACTATCAGAAAATCTTATTTCTAAATCAATTACTTCAGTTTTGTTTTTCACCAAACCCTATCGAATACCCCCAGAAAAATAAGAATATACGGCACGTGTTTCATATGTAAAGTTGCTTCTTTATTAAAAGCTTGATTGCAGCACTGGAGAAAAACTCCTGTTTTGAGCGGTGAAGGGATTCACAAACGCCTCTGATTGGCCATTGCGTTCACGAAATCAACAGACATGTCTGTGATTGCCTACAACGCTCAACACTGCAAAGTGCGTTGTAAATAAAAACCTTTGACGCTCTCCAGACACAAATAAGCACTGGATCGTTTGCCAAACTGGTTTCACCCATAGACTGTATTAAACAATGTTTCGCCAATATGCTATTATCACAGCTTCACCCAAGTGTGCTCATCATGCTTTCGTTTGAGGGTGATTACTTTTGCATGTTTTGGCCACAGTCTACTCTAAGTTTTTGTTGCATGTACACAGTTTTGACCAGCACGCGTTTCGAGCGCTTTGAAACAGTGAATCATTTTGCGAAGCAATTGGTTCAATTGATTCGAAGCTTCGAAAAGGTTCGTTTATTGTATTCACTCGCGTCTGTTGTCTCGCGCATGACACGACGTTCTAAAAACGCGAGATCTTACGTTTTTCCCCTTTCCTCTGCCCGTTTAAAGCTGGATGATTGCAAACGATTGAAAGTGTTTGAGCATCTGCTGCACAGCCGTTCATGAGAGTTTAAATGCTGGAGAATATTCCCATCTTCCCACAGCTGAAGAAGAAGCAAGCAGGAGGAATTACTCCAGGAGAAACTACTGACATACTGTTGGAAAGATGGAGTTTGAGGAAGACCCCTGCAGAATGAGAGATGAAGATACAGAGGAACAAACAGGTTGGTGTTCTCCATCAGGAACATCAAGATGAAAACTGACATAAAATATAATAACATTAGCAGACAGCAGTAACCTAGATTTGTGCTAAATTAAGGCTTAACTTGATTTCCTCTTGTTTCTAATTTGAGTTAATTTTAGACTCAATGGAAGTGATTGAAGACGAACAACATCGGTTTAAAAAAACTCATCATTTCACAAATGAAGATGGAAACATTGTTTCAGAGACTGACATTAACTTCACATTAAAAAGTGCTCGCAAAACTGCTGAAAAAGGTTATTTCGCCTGCACCGAGTGTGGAAGAAGTTTCAATGATAAATCAAACCTAATGAGACACATGAGATTTCATGCTGGAGAAAAACCATTCGCATGCACTCAGTGTGGAAAGAGTTTTGTTCTGAAAGGAGGATTGAATCGGCACCTGCAAGTTCACACTGGAGAAAAACCATTCACATGCACTCAGTGTGGAAAGAGTTTCACATCCAAAAGCATTCTGAGGGATCATCTGGTCTCTCACACTGGAGTGAGATCATTCAGCTGTGATCAGTGTGATAAAACATTTGCTTTTGAAACAAACTTAAGAGAACACCTTAAAATTCATACTGGTGTGAAGCCTCACGTTTGCAGTTTTTGTGGAAAGAGGTTTTCGGCACTGAAAAGCTTACAGTATCACCAGAGTATTCATACTGGAGTGAGACCTTATATGTGCTTTGACTGTGGGAAGACCTTTAGTTCGTCGAGCAACTTAAAAACACACCAGAGGATTCACACTGGAGAGAAACCTTACAAGTTCTCACACTGTGGAAAGAGTTTCTCTCATTCATCAACCTTGAAAGATCATGAGAGAATTCACACTGGAGAAAAGCCGTACCAGTGCTCTTCGTGTGGGAAGAGTTTCGCCCGCTCCTCTAATCTACTGACTCATAAGAAAAAGCGTTGTCTGAGTGAGCAAAAGCATTTGTGAAACAATGGCAAGATCAGTCCGTTAAATCTCTGTTAATGTTCATGGTGTTAGAAACTCTTGCATTGAGGGCGCAAACATTGAAATCAGTCCAGTTTTGGCTTGGGCTTGTTTATGGTTAAATAGGTTTATTAATAGTGATGCCATTTATTATTTATAATGTTGTGTGTGATGTACTGATTTCCATGAGAAATAAAAAGGAAGGAAACTTAAGTGTCTTATTAAATAAATACATTTACTTTTGTTTACAAATGATCAAATGGTTTTGTTAAATAACTGATGTTGTGTTTTTGAACAAAAAACTGTTCTAGATGTTTTTCAATTTAAACAGAAGATTAAAACTGAATGAAACGTCTGTGGCAATGCAGCAGGGAAATACAGCTGTTATAGTTGTAAAGAGATGAATCCATGCTTAAGAAGTTAGTTTTAAGCATTTAACTTGACTTTTGGTCAATAATAATAAGGTAAAAGAATTCTTTAGTGAACAATTATTTAATTGTTTTCTTATTTGGAAGCAGATTGTGTCTCCTCTTCAGTAAAATTCTTTGTTTTTCTAAAAAAGGCAGTACCGTAAATTTGACTCTTGATGGCACCATTTTATTGTCAAACATATCAGCTTACTGACTTAATAACATGGATCACAAAGCTTCTTTAAATCTGCTGTTTTATTACCCTGTGAGTACATTTATGGAAATTGTGAGGAGGCACAATTTAGGAAATGAGAAGCACCTAAAATAAAAAAATGTAATTTCCTCATATTACATTTCATGCTGATCTCTTCTGAATTTCTTCATGTTTTTGAATGCAGCAGTAATTGATTGTTCTAGAATAGAACATATATGCTGTTATATATATATATATATATATATATATATATATATATATATATATATGGTGTTTC